GCCTTTACCGCAGTTACAAAATAAAAGGTTTTTTTTTTTTTTTTTAAAGGCTTACCAGGCTTTATGAAAATGTGTTCCATTATGTTTGTTCATCACTCAAATGTAATATTTTAGACTCAAATGCAAATGAAGCCCTTAGGTTAATAATCATAGACTAATATGGTCAGATCTAATCTACTGAAAATCTTGGATACATCACTGTGCATATTATTTTCATTCACAAGTTAATTCAAATCAGGAATCTTTTGTAAAAGTATAACTGAAAATTATGATATAATAAATCTATAAGCAAGAAGGTGGTGGATAAAAAGCAGAGGTAGTGTAAATATATATATCTTAACATTATTCTATAGGGTAACTATTACTTTGATAAATAATATTTGGTTCCAATAATATTGGGTTTCATTTTTCTAAAATGCATAACAGAGTATAAATACATGCATATGCAAATGCATCTATAGATCTATAATAAAAATTATTTAAACTTATTATTTTTCCTGAAGCCCAGTGACCTCAAGAAGATTGATAAAAGGGTAATCATAGAAAAAAAAAATTGAAGAATTTCAGTCCCTGGCGTATTGTGAGAGAGAAAGAGAAAAAAAACCCCAACACTTAAACTGAATACTTGATTATTGAAGGCCATCCTCATAAGCAAAATATTTTCCCTCAATTACACCTAATTATTTAATTGTTTACATTTACTAATGAAACGAAACAACACAAAACAAACAACTGTAAGGGGCTGTTTTTCACCAAGTGCATAATCATCAATCAACATGTACAGAAAGATTCTTAAAATTATATGAAGCCGGTCTGTTTAAATAGAAAGGCATATTTTATCCCAATCAATGCATAAAAGTAAAATTATCCATAACTGAGGCATGTTTCTCTGCTGTACAGTTCAGCTGTAATGATCCCCACACACTGCACTTGCACATCAATTATGATAATCATAATCACGGTCGTTAAGCTGAATGTTCATTATTATCAGGATGCTGGTGACAGCAGATTCAATCACCGGGTGCCATGGGCAAGCAGTCCCAGTCCCACCCAAGCTTCTGCAGACAGCGATGTGCCACATTAAATCTATGATGTGTTCCACATCCCACTCCATTCCAAAAGCCGTAGACGGTAAAGGTCAACTTTATGTTCTGTGCAATATGCTTAGGTTCTCTAAATTAATTCTTTGGAGTACTTGATATTTTTATGCTTTGTAGCTTATGAAATCCTGTTTAGGACTAAAATGCATGTGAAAATAACAAAAAAGGGCTGCCCTACTGTTGTAATTCACTTACAATAAGACATATGAAGAAAGGCTCTATCAACATGAACCATCTTAAAAGTCTCTTCCTGAATTCTGCTAACGTGGGAAAACATGAAATAGTTCCATTAAAATCAGTCATCTAAAATGCATATGAGAACTCATTCCAATTCAGATAAAGGCCTTAGACTATTATTTCTGCTTCAGTAAATATGAACATATGTGAATGTTTTGACAACCAAAAGAATGTTTTTAGTATACTGAGTTTTTGTATTGTCCAACTTGTTTAAATCTACCCAAATAGATTAAATTAATAGTGACTGACTGGTGTATACTCCTTATTGAAATTCACTTCTATTTTAAATATTGATATCGGCACAATAAAGAATTTATAAATACACATTATCTACCTGAACTGATAAAGTTTTACCAGTTAAGGCACAGGCCCAGAGTCTAAAAACTTGGGGCATTTTACAAACAGATTAAAGAAATGTGAGTAAGGAAGGGAAGGAGAAATAAGATGAAAATGGACAGGGAGGAAAACCATAAGAGACTCTTAACTCTAGGAAACAAACTGAGGGTTGCTGGAGAGGAGGTGGGTAGGGGCACAGGGTAACTGAGTGATGGGCATTAGGGAGGGCACTTGATGTAATGAGCACTGATAAATCACTAAATTCTACGCCAGAAACTAATAATAGTACAGATTATGTTATCTAAATTGAATTTAAATAAAGTTTTTTTAAAAAAATATTCAACTTAAGTCATCATCACTAATTACATAAAAAAGAAATGTAAGTTATATATGTTTTATTACACTTTTTATTACTGATTTCTATGCTTTTAAGAAAAATGATATTTTGTTTTTCATTACTAATTTTCATAGCATGAAGAAAAAATTACTGTTTGTTCTCCCTTTGTTGACTTTCTGATGTCCTTGTGTTCTTTGGATCAATAGCATTAAAAATAAAACAAAAATATTAAATAATATTTGATATTTAATTTAATGTGAATGTGGTTAGAGAAAGAGTATCTAACATTTGATTTTCTCTCAACTGATACCCTTTAACACTGTATAACAAATGACCTGAAAATTATAACCTCTGTGTTTATAGATGATAGAAGAAAAGGAAATTCTCCACGTAGATAATCTTAAAACATGACGGGAAAGGTGGGCAACAGGAACCAACTATATTTAATTGAGCTGTTTCTTGGCTGAAATCAATTTATTGCTTTCAATAAATGTTATGTATATTTAAATGTTTGTAAACAGCCCATCTTCCCCAGAGGAGGCATAAAGCCAGGTCAGCCTTTCCTTCTTCAATATTTTGACCTTAATAACTCTAGCCTCCCTAAAACTGTTCTTACTAATAATGAATAAATTGTGGCCTCCAACCTTGTAATCAAGAAACTAAGTCTTATAAAGAAAAAGAAGCCTGCTTTTAGCAATTTATTGAACCCAATTCTCACCCAAATCACTTAACATCAAATCAAATTAAATTATGTCTAATAGTTGTAAGATTTAACATATAAACAATAAAATGGCTGCCTCTACATTGTGCGGATTACATTAGCCACACAGAAGGATGATTTGTTGACTTAATATGGTTATTTGAAGAGATCAGAAAGTACGAAGAAATAATGAATGGAGAGAAGCAGGGAAGAAGGAATTTCCATTTGCATTTAGTATTTTTCTACATGCTTTTATGTAGGGTTTAGTGGATTAATGATTTATTAGGATTTAAAGAATCCCTATACTCTTCTCTCTTATTTTTCAGGGTCTACAAGAACAACTATTTATGGGTAACTTTAAATATGTATACTTTCTAAAAGTATGTGGAGGCACATGATGATTTCTCAAAAGAATGAAATAAACAATTTTTTTCTCTTTAGTGAGTATCCCACAGTCTCTATATTTCCATGAAGTTGCTTACTTCCCTAAGATAGATGTATATTCCAAAATATGTCAGAGTATATGAGGTGAATATGTCATATAAAACCAGAAAGTACTGTACTATTTTAGGAAAGAAACATTTGCACAAGGATCTTATTTACTCTGAAGTAGCTTAATGTCCTATGGTAAGTCATTTATATTTAAAGAAATGAATACTTCCTTGAATTAAATAAAATAGTGAGAGGGCAAAAAAAAATTTATGTCAAATAGCAAATGAGATATGGATCATGTTATGCACATTTCTAAATATGAAATTAAATAGTCGGCAAATGTATTTAGCCTATCTTCTGAATTGTTGCATATTAGGTAAAAACAAATGCCAAGAATAACATCATCACCAGTATTTTGGTTTGCCAATCAGTACACTCACTGCACATATTCCTTATGATGTGGAATTATTATTTAGTATTTTAGATAGTTTTTTAAGAAAGAGGACCTTGCAGGTGGAAAAGAAAATTAGGCACTTTCTAAAGTATCTTTGTTACTCCCCAGTGACTTATCCTTGGTAATCCCATATTTACAATGTCCTAAAAAAAGACTTTATCTTAGAGTTTGGTAAAATAAAGAAAGAACTCATTTTTCTTAAGGGTCTAACATGTGTCTTCCTCTTGAGTAATGAGGATATGTCTGCAACTTGTGTTTCCTCTTCATCTTTGCCATACACAAGCTGAAATTCCTGTCCCTTCCCACTGCAGTAATGGTTTCTTTTATTTTGTGAGCATATACACTGTTCTTATCTAAGATCATTTCCTCTATTTTTATTTCTAAAATATAACCTTTACTGTATTTGATTTTAGTAAGGTGTCTTAAATTCTTCTGGAAGGAGGCTGTGTATAAATGAGTAAATCCTCACTGACAGATTATTAATAAAACCAATGTGTCTGATATACTCTATGAAACTCAGTGGCTTTAATTACCTTTTAGAAAGCCACTTACAACTTCATTTTATCTATGTAATTCTCTTTTTTTTTTTGTTTTGAGGATTTTATTTATTCATTCATGAGACACACACAGAGAGAGAGAGAGAGAGGGAGAGACCTAGGCAGAGGGAGAAGCAGACTTCCATACCCAGAGCCCGATGAGGCACTAGATCCCAGGACCCCAGGACCACAACCTGAGCCGAAAGCAGACACAACCCGAGTCACCCAGGCGTCCGTCTATGTAATTATTTTTATAAATAAGTTACAGTTTCTGTTAGATAATAGGCTACACACATGGTAAGAACTTTCCTTTTACCTCCTATTGTGTAAGACATCGTGGTGTTTTCCCTAATCAGAAAATTTTATCTAAATAGCAACAAATACAACTCTAGAATCAGTTAATAAATATTTGTTTTTTTCTTTTCTATATCAAATATATACATGTCACATATCTCTATGTATTCCTGTCTATCTTCCTACCTACTTATTTACTTATCTATCCATCCACACACACACACAGAGATTGAGAGAAAGTAATCAAGCACTGATTTCTATGTCTGAAAGATTGACTATTCTGTGACCATAGATTCAAGTTTTGAACCTGATTGGCTTTGGCAAAGCCATGATGCATGCCACAGAACATAGAGCAGCTGAGCCATTACATACAAAAACATATAACACTAAAAAACAAAAATATAAATCTCTTACTGCCACAGATCAGCACTGCCATCTTTACATAAAATAGCTATAAATAATTTTATAACCATGAAGGTATTAACTGTAATGAGACTATTCATATTTATTGTAATCGTGCATATTTTTAGCCTTTAAAAAGGAACATCATCTTTTTAATGTTGCATTATCTTACCTTGTCACAGATCCACTTCCTAGGATTTTCATCTCTAAAATGTTGACTTCCATAAGAGTTGGGGCCATACTTGCTTGATGAATGCATTAATGGGATGTACTTTTTATTTTTATGATGGGACGAAAATGGCAAAAACCTAAAGGAACATTTAAGTGATGTTAATTTTATTTATGCAAACATTTTATTAAAAACATTAGAATTTAGAGAAATAGTAAAGCATAGTGAAAAATAAAACATAGCTTGGAATCACAAGACCTGGATTCCACTTCAACCTGACACTATCTCTGTTACTTTTATGAATCTTCATTTCTTATTCAGCAAATTGAGATACCTTTTACATAGAATATTTATAAATTTCAAATATTTTGGAAATATGGAAAATTTTAAAGAATAAATTTATTAACTAATGAAGCCAAATAAAGTAAAATTTATTGTGTAAATAAAAATGTTCTTAATTTTAAAATGGTACCCAAAAATGTAAAGGAGCCCGTGTAGGAAATTTTCATTGTAATGGGCTTTCTTCAAATATTTTTTTCTTTTTTTATTAAGGTATTAAGGACATACAAGATTATATTAGTTCTGCTAGTTTCAGGTGTACAACATAATTTAGTATTTGTATATATTATGAAATGATCATTGCAAGTCTATTTCACATCCATCACCATACATAGCTACCTTTTTTTCTTGTGATGAGGAGTTTTTAAGATTTATTCTCTTAGCAACTTTGAAATATGCAATACAGTATTATAAATTATAGTCTCCATGCTGTACATTTAGTCCTAATAACTCACTTATTTTATAACTGGAATTTTGTACCTTTTGACTCCCTTCACCCATTTCGCCCACCCACTACTCCACATCTCCGGCAACCACCAATCTGTTCTCTGTATCTACCAACATTTTGTTTTAAAGATTCCACATATAAGTCAGACCTTATGGTATTTGTCTTTCTCTGTCTGGCTTTATTTCATTTAGCATAATACCTCCAAGGTCAATTCATCCTGTTACAAATGGCAAGATCTCATTTTTGTTTATGGCTGAATTATATTCCACTGTATATAACACATTTCCTTTATCTATTTATCTACTGATGGACATGTAGTTTGCTTCCATATCTTGGCTGTTGTAAATAATGTTGCAATGAACATGGGGGTGCATATATTTTTCTAAGTTAGTGTTTTTGTTTCTTCAAATAAATATATATAAGAGGAACTGCTGGATCATATGGTAGTTCTAGTTTTAATTTTTTGAGGAACCTCCATAATGTTTTCCACAGTGGCCGCACCAATCTACATTCCCACCAACAGTGCACAAAGGTCTCCTTTTGTCCATATCCTTGCCAACATTTGTTATTTCTTTCTGATACAAGCTATTCTGACAGGTGTAAGGTGATGCCTCATTGTGGTTTTAATTTGCATTTCCCTGATGATTAGTGATGTTGAAACATCTATTCATATACCTGTTGGCCATCTGTATGTCTTTTTTTTAATGTCTATTTAATTCCTCTGTTCATTTTAAAATTAAACCTTTTTTGTTATTGAATTGTATGAGTGCTTTACATACTTTAAATATTAACCCCTTATCAAATATATGATTTGCAAATATTGTCTCCCATTCAGTAGGTTGATTTTTCATTTTGTTGATGGTTCCTCTTGCTGTGCAGCTTTTCATTTTGATGTTGTCCCACTTGTTTATTTTTGCTTTTCTTGCTTTTGCTTCTGGTGTCAAATCCAAAAAAATAATCACTAAGTTAATGACAAGGAGCTTACCGCCTATGATTTTCTTCTAAGAGCTTTATGGTTTCAAGTCTTATATTCAAGTCATTAATACATTTCGAGTTAATTTTTGTGTATGTGATAAGATAGTGGTTCAGTTTCATTCTTTAATCCAAATAGTGAAGGCATTTTTGGTAGGGGTTATAAATAACGGGGCTTTCGAGCTAACCAGACCAATATTCTCATCCTAGCTTTGCCCCTGCTACCACTGTTCCCTCACGGAAGTTACTTGACCTCTAGGAGATTTTACTTCCATATGGGGTGGTTGTAAAGAATGGATAATTTAGTATATGTAAAGCTTAACATGGAGACTAAAAGAGCAAGTGCCCAATAAATAATGGGGGAGCTAAAAGTAGAAGTAAATGTAAAAGTAGCTTGTTGTCATGCTCATCATTGTCATGCTCATCATTATCATTTTCATCAGCATTATTATTTTAATGTGTTATCCTGATCAACATAAAGGATCAAAATTTTGAAACCCATGGAACATCTAAGATCGTAATACAATTTTTGTGTAAATAAAGTTTGTTTATTCATTCATTCATTCATTCATTCATTCATTCATTCATGAGACACACAGAGAGGGAGAGGCAGAGACATAGGCAGAGGGAGAAGCAAGCTCCATGCAGGAAGCCCGACGTGGGACTTGATCCTGGGACTCAAGGATCACGCCTGGGCCCAAGGTAGGTGTTTAACCACTGAGCAACACAGGCATCCTGAGATATATGGATTTTTAAATCAATGTTTATTCACTGAACTTTTCTTTCGCTCTTATCTATGTGAGCTTAAATACTTTGTTCAGATGAATGAATCTTCTCAAAAGATACTAGGAATGCCCAGAAAACAACTTTGAATATCAACATTTGAAGAATTCTTAATTTAAAGTTGATCAGTCACAAAGCCACTCTCGCATACAAATACATTCCAGTCTGATTTCTAGAGTTCTCCTTTAATATAAATCTAAAAATGGATTATCAGTTGGGAAAAGTACCAACATGAAAGAAAGACACATATCCCAAAATAGAAGATAATCTGGAGGAAAGAGATTTAATGAAGGAGATAGGAGTAAATATCAAAAAATTTCAATTAATATAATCAAAGAGGCTATGGCACCAATGAAGTTGGAGCTAGATGCGTTTTAAATAAAAGAAACTAGAGAAAAAGATCTGGGCAATAATATATATATATATGTGTATATATATATATATATATATATACACATATATATATATTATATGTAGTGAAATGAAATATTCTGCTGAGAATAATGTTCTGAAATTCAGGCTCTGAAAAAACGAAGTTGAGGTTCAAAAGATATATTGATCCATAAGCATATGTCAATATTTTCTCAGATATCATCTCACCTAATTAGGACAAGGAAGGTTTTTTTTTATATCTCACTTCAGCTGAAAATTTGATTCTTTTCCATTATACTCATAAATTTGTTTAAAAAATAATAAAGGAAAGTAGCATTATTTTAATTTTATACTTCATGATTCCTTTTTCATGTTTTTTCCTTTCAATGTTTATTAATAAATCCCTTAATATTTTTCCTAAGAAAACATTCTCTAATACTATTTAAAATATAAAAACAAATAAACAGAACAGAGAGCTTTGAATTACACAAAATTACACAAGCATGTGTTATTATACATGCTCTTGGGAAAAGAGCTCTCATATAAGACAGATTATGGCCCTTCCAGTGCTAATTTGCACATGGGATGGACATCACACACACAAAAATTAATGTGGCCCCAATGTCCCTGAGTATACAAAGGGGGTACTGTGAGCCGGCTGCTACACTTAGTTTTTATCACTTCTGAATTGCATTTTAATAGTACATTTTTCTTTTGTGTCTGAACAAAATTTGCTTTCTCAAGGGAATGGATGGCTGAGAAGACAAGGCTGAAAGACTAAGTATTTTCCTGTCCATGAGTTAATTTTACTTTCATTCAGCCATAATCTTTCACTGAAGTAACATGTATGTGTATTCTTAAGTATATGCACATATGTACATATATAGGAATATATATTTAAAATAATTAGATGTCTTATAAGTAATTTTCAAATATTAATTTCAAGTTAGGAAGAAATTACTTAATTCTCAAAAAGGATATGCTCTATAAAAATATAAATAGATGAACACCCTAAAAAATCAATTTAGTTTGTAATCAAACTTTTAGATAAATAGCAATTACTTTCTAAAATGGTATCTTTTACCAGTTTTAAATACATATTCAGATTTACCTCATACTTGTAGTGATTTATTTTCAATTAGCCTGATACCACATTAATGAAGATATGGGTTAGCCTATTATTTTATGATCTCATCAAAGATTCAGATCTGAAAGAAATTCTAAAATATAATGTAGAGATATAGTGATCACATCATTACCTGAATGTGTGGGCAGTTAGGGAAGAACTGCTAGAGGTCTCAGAAAGAAAAATTAAATTCAATTAGCTTCAGGGAAAATGGGTTCACTGCAAATACAAAGTCTTTCTACTTTGAGTATTAATATACTTAATATTATTTTCTAAATAAGAGGACTAATGAATTATACTTTTTTCTCTTATAACTCCTTTATATCCCTCCCTCTTTTTAAAGATTTTATTTATTTATTTATTTATTTATTTATTTATTTATTTGAGAGAGAGAGAGAGAGTACGAGCAGAGGAGAAGGGCAGGAGGAGAAACAGACTCCCTGCTGAGCAAGGAGCCCAATGCAGTACTTGGTTTTAGGACCCTGGGATCCTGACCTGAGCCAAAAGCAAACGCTTACCTGACTGAGCTACCCAGGTGCCCCAATTTCCCCTTTTCTTATAGTCAGTCCAACTATTGCCACTCATTTTAGGTTTTCCTCCACCCCATTTATTTCACTACCAATTAACTGAAATCTACAAATTATGAGATCCTCTTGCCTACTGATCCAATCCTACATATTCTTCAGCCCAGCTGTCAGGCTTCTTAGAATGTACGTGATCTGTTCACTCTGCAAGCACCCCTATCTGCCATTCTACTGATGCCATACTCCTGTCTTTCTTTCTCTCCAACTTTCCATCCTTCTTTTGCCTTTGTTCGTACTCCTCTCTTCCTGATATGCTGATCCATACATGTCTCATCTTTCAAAATCCAGGTAAACACCCAGTTTTCCTAGACAGCCTCATTATCCCACTCCAGTCCACAGTGATTTCTGTACTGTCTTAATAATATTCATTCATTAAAAAAATAATGAATGCCTTTCTATACTGAGCCTTTTGAAAAATACTGAGATAGGATGATGGAAGATGCACTATACCTACAGAGAATTCACCTTCTAGTGGGGGGGAGGGGATGAGACAACACAGTACAAAGGGTTAAATT